GTTCCGGATTTCCTTTTTCGTTGTGGACGTAGCTGTCAACTTCTTCATTTTGCTGATTTTTGAGTTTTTTGCATCCAAGTAACTTATATAATCATTGTATCAGTGAGGCGTAGTCGCAGTACTGGGACAAGACTGTTAAAAAAAGTAATGTGGGCTACTAGTGAAGGCTATTTTATTGGTGTTTATTACCTGTTTGTCGGACGTATTATTTTAAAATTACCCTAAAACAGCCAAAACGAAGAGTCAGATTGAGCTTATGAATAAACACAGTATTTTTGCACCGTTCCAAAATCAAATATTACAGGAGAAATTCCATGAATTTGAAAAAAATGATGCATATATGTGTGTATGCAAAACATTCATTCGTTGGTTGGATCGCCATATCTTTGAGTTATTTATCGAAGGCCTGAGAAAAACCAAAATAGTGCGGGAAGCAGAAGATGAAGGTATCTTGCTGCATAATCCGGAAATTTTAGCGCGAACCACTTCTGCGGGGATTGACAGCCCTCGAGAGGTACTTTTTTGAGTTGGAATTTCAAATCAGAAGACTTTTTTTAAACTATAAAATGTATTATGGGTATGACTAAGTCCTGGTGCGCAAGCTTCATCACGCTGAAATCACTGGCCACAGTATCTTAATTTTCTATTTCATTCGGCATTCCTCAACTGCTCCATAACTTGCCTCAATTTTTTGACCTTAACCGGTTCATTATAACTCCTTTTGTTTTGATTTTAAATCTTGCTTCGTTATCACTATTGTAAAAAATCGATTTTCTTTGTAACTTAAAAAATTTTTGAGTTTTTTGATGCAGAAAAAAGATTCATTCTGTGAACTGCCGGACGAAAAAGTGCCATTTTCGCTTGATGAAGATGTAGAAGGACAGAATGCACTGGATGTTGAAACATCTTCTGGTATTTTGGCCGAAACTAATCCCGCTAAGGTAAGTCTGTGGAAATGTTATGAACAGAGTAAAAATCAAAAACCTCCTGAACTCCCGAACACTCTTTATAGGAGACAGAGGCACTCAGAATTAACTCATATAAACCCTCCTCCCCCCTCCCCCCTTCTTCTCCCCTCCTCCCTCCCCCGAATGGCAGGGCTCTCAGTGGTTTCCTTTTCAAGTAGTGCTGAAATGCAGTCTGATAGTGGTGAAGGTTGCATACGTGGAATACCTGGATAATTGATAATTTAATTTTCCATCTGTTTAGCTGGCAACTGCGAAAGTAACTCGCTCAGAAGCCGGAAAACTAGGAGCATGAAATTTGGAAGAATATTTCCCCTCCATCTTTTCAAATTCAGCTTTTATGTACCGACTCGTGAAATTTTCAGTGGGAAATTCCTCATCTTAGGAGCCAGACAGCTTTGAACACTGGCGCACCGCCTTTTACCCTGCTAGCGATTACAACATCCATTCTCCTGAAGAATTCATCGTTGTCACGGTTCTCCTAACAGAAACTGTTAAAAGGGTTTAGCAATTTTGAGACATTCTTACTCTATGCTGAATATCGCCGTCTTTTCTCGAATACGGCCACTCCTAGAAGATGTTAGGGAGCTTTACTCAAAGATCGGTATGTACAGAATATAAGTTTTCAGTTAAAACCACTAAAAAAACAGTAGAATCACACTGATTATTTCTTACTGTTAAGGAGCGCAGCGGCGCTATGATCTGAATTTGGGTGCCAGCATTTCTACTGATTCGTTTTATTAGTTCACTGATGGATAGCAGTTTTAGCCGGACGAGCAACTGTCAAAGAAGACACTGATTGAAGCTCGTATTCAGTGGCATAATTTGAGCGGAAATATTGCTACACTGACAATGATGTCGATAGGTTTGAGCATAAAATGTGCTCGATGTAGTGCTCTTTCATTCCTCACTTGTGAGTC